CTACGCAATCAAAGCAACAGTTTAAACAAAACTAATTTCAGCAAATGTAAGCTTGAAATCAATAGTAAATTAATTCAGTAACAGCACAAGCAATATCTCCCTTGTCCCAGCATTAAGACAACCAATCCTTTCCTGCCTGGTCCATCCAAAAATTTGGCAACATATTATTGGCGCATGTTACCCTCACCAGTATGATGAGGCAATAAAAAGGATCGGATGATATCAAAACAATAGCGATTTTACTTTTAACAGCAGCATTCAAGCCTCTTAATTCAACACCACAAAACGTTATCAACAATTTTTTAATGTTCAATCCATTATGTGGTGGCAACTTAACAAAATGATAGTATGGGTTTCCCAATTAAGTTCTAATGCAAGCCTAAAGATGCTTAAGTCTCCTGACTTGAACCTCTATCTTGGCTTTGTCACAGCAACCATCCCATTCTAATACAAGAAGGAAAGAAAAAAAAACTTGATGTTGAGTGATAATTTAGTATGTCCAAGGTCTCTCTAATTTAAGCAAGGAAACATTAGATGAGCATAAAAGTTTAAATATGTAATTATAAATCCATATCTTGAAAATAGCTTTGATGAGCTAATTGTAGATATAAAGGATTGAAGAAACATTGTAATTATATGGCATCAACATGGAATCAGTGTAAAAAAAAAAACATGCAAATTATGAAGTGAAAAGAAACAAGAACAACAATGTACCATATGAAAATGTTAGGTTCTCTTTCTATTTTTATGATGATTTAAAGCCATGATTCAAAAGAGTTTAATCTATTTTTGTGCTAAGTGTGCAGGAAAGTTAATTCAAGGATTCTAATCTTTCCCCATGATTAGAATTGATTCATGTCCTCCTTGTTCAGAGTTCTGGGTTCGAACTAATCCAGAAGTTCTTTTTCCGAAAATGTTTCAAACCAATATTTCTGGCTTTGAAGCAAAAATTCTAGAAGGTTAAATTTTGACAGCTCAACTATCCGTTTATTCTTAATGGGTCATAGGGGATCCAAATGTCTAAGCACTTTCCAAGACAAGTCAGAAGAAAAAGGTGGAATCTAATTGGGGCAATTGTGAGGTGGCTTTGAAGGGCAAAATGGGCTTTAATTGCAAGGCTCCCAACCAACTATTAAAAGGACATCAAAAATCAAATTTGCATGAACACAGAAGAATGAACTGCTCCAGTGATATAGAAAAACAGAGTTTGTTTTTGAAACTATTCTGGATCTTCTTCTTCTTCTTCTTGTGAGCTTTTGGGTTAATTGTCTTACAAGGGTTTTGTATTCTTCTTGGATTGGGATAATCCTTGAAGGGGTTGAGTGAGTTGAGATTTACTTGTGAGGGTTTAATCTTGCACCCGCAAGTAAGACTTTGTTCCGGTTTAATCTTGCAACTGTAAGCAAGAGATTTCTAGTGGATTGAACTCTTGAGCAAGGAGGCTTGGGGAGTGGACGTACTTCGGGTTGGAGGAACCACTATAAATCACGGCTTGATATTCTCTTCCCTTTCTTTTTATTTTTCTGCACTTTATTTGCAAGATTGCAGTTGATATTTGTTTTATTTTGAACAACAAATTATATATATATTGAAAACTTCATTTACGTTTTTATAAAAGAAAAAAAATGAGTTTTATAACTTAGGAATTGATAAGACCCAATTCATCCCTCCTCTTAGGTAGCTAGCTGGGATTACAAAAAATTCAAATTGCCATTCTTACTCGCAGATCTTCCATTTTCCTTATCTGATGTTTGCATGGAGATTGAATAGTTACTCTACTGAAAAGTTGTTTTGTATATATAGAGTAACAGGGGTCAAAACCTCCAAGGATTCTTATGAAGCTCATCTTTCTTAATCCATAATAACATTTTACTAGCAAAATGACACTATATATAGTTAGTTGTTGTCTAGTAATCTAAAAAACTATATATATAGTTAGTTGTAAAAAATAAATCATAATTGATTACTAGAGAACTCATTTATAGAAAAGTAGCGCTACTATGTATATGTTGATAAATGATAATCACCTTCCAAAGCAACTCAACACCTTGGCCATTGAGATCAGCAAATGAAGATGTGCTAATAATGAGATATTTAGGAGGACAGGCCATAAAATGCCAAATATCTCTATTATAATCAATGATTGTTCATGGCATTGTTGTACTTTTCAGACCAATTAGCAAATTCAAAGGCACACACTTGTTTGGCTTTAAGCTAGTTACACCTAAAGAATATTTTTAATATTTT